AGCAGGTAATCTCCGAAACTACTCATCCGATTTCAAAAATTCTTTCACCAATATTTAGAATGGAACCTCAGGGTGGACATAGGCTGTATATTATTCCGTTAAACATTCATATAAATTAAAATATATAATCTAGGTTAAGGCTTTTTGTGAGGACACAACCGATGTCCGAAATCATGTAAATCGCGGTATTCTTATGATTGAATAATAACAATAGATTATATATGTGAGGGAGAGAAAAATCCCATAATTTAAACAACGTGGCTCGGATGTCGCAATCGTTGTCGCAATCGCAGTCGGAGTCATCCGAGACAACGAGTCTCGGATGACTCCGACACGTATTAAACGAACTGTCAATGTCAGAATGAAAAGTTATAAGTCAGAAGCAAGTGGTCGTATGCAGGTAGAACTTTGACCCCAGCGCTCATGAACAACCTAGGGAAAAATTTCGGAAAAGAGGGTAAGATTTAAGAGAGATAAATCATTGCACGCGTGCGTAACTCGCGATTTCTGTCATCTGGGTACTCGAACGATCGTACCCAGATGACAGAAATCGCGAGTTACGGAGCTAAATTACGAGCGCAAGTCTTGCAATTTTGTCAACAATCCCCAAGAACAATCGACAGAACGGCGTCGAGCAGACACCTGGAATCGGACCTTTCCCGTGAACCGAGTCGGTCTCGGTTTTCCCCAAAACAAAAGAGAGACCAATGGGGAAGCGAGAAAGGGGACGAGGGGCCAATCAGAAGCCTTACACAGGTAACCTTACACAGGTGCCGTGGAGTGGGTTTCAAGTCCCCTATCTCCATTGGGTCGGCCACCTTACATTTTATGTCCAACAGATGGCGCTACGAGTACGACGCCCTAAGTTTGCTTTTCCGTGAGGCATTATGCTTTTCTGTGAAAATGAACTAAAGCAGGTCATCTTCTATCTATCTATATAAAAAAAATATAATGTTCGTTTCTTCCTACCGATCTCATTGACATTTTGACACAACGCTGCATTCGAATACGCACGTGTCTGTATATAATATACGTGTCGAAATCCCCCACTGAAGGGAGATGGTTAGGATTAAGGCTTACCGTAAAGAACACTGTTTCTATTTATACTATTTTAGATGCGGGTTTTTGCGTTTTTGATTGCATTTTAATAGGGTACGTCGAATTTTTCGAAAAATCCCCCTACGGGGGAAGTGTTATACATTTATAATAGATACATTTTGAGCCACAACAACGCGTGGCGGGGTCTGCTAGTCGGGCTATAAGTTTCATGTTTCTATTAAAACAACCGCGGTAGACAAATCAAAATCACTAGAGAGCCAAAGGAGTATTACAATCGCGGAAACGATCTAGAAATCTTCCAGGCTACAGGAGAAAAAACACATGACATCCATCTTCTCTTAAATGCATTAAAGACGATTCAACCCACATGAATTGAATAGGAAATGACATTTATAATCGCAGGACTTTTCATTAGTTAATAAAGTAAGAACCAGAGTATTGACCATCTTTGGTTGTTAAAATCCTATTATTAAAATGTACAATAATATTTTGTATTATGTTTAATTTATAAAAACGAAAATTACTCTTTAATTTAGAAGTTTGATCTAAATTTATTTTTTTTTAATTTTCAACTCAATTCAAAGCATAATCACAGTAATTTATGATATATAATTAGAAATATTATTTATTGTTTGTGATGAAATTATAATGAGAGAAATATATGTAAGGAAAAAAATTGTAATATGCAATAACAAGTAATTTATGTATTTTTCAGTTGGCTTTTTCCAATAATTATTAAAGGAAGAAAGCGACTTTTGAAAGAAGATGATTTATACGAAACTTCCAAATATCATAGTTCTGAGGACCTTGGAAATATGCTTCAGAAGTAAGCTTACAAATTTCTTGTGTTCATTATCATTAAATTGAATACTTTTATAAGCTAAAGGAAAGATGTAAAAGGTAAATCAAGGAAAAATTAGCATGTTTGTTTCATGTAAACTAACTACTATATTTTAGATTTTTATTCGAAGCATTAATACTGTGTATTCGTATATTAAATTATAATTTTTTAAATTATAATTTATAAAACAGGTTTTACTGTGTTGATACAATGACGGTGTTTTTTGCAAGTTTCTTATGAGTTTGGCTAAGCAAAATATGGTGCAACCAGTGCTGTGAGATTAAACGTGATATATTCAGATTGCGTCTTGAAAAATTTTTCGAATTTTTTAAATAGTTGTGTGATGAGCTACCATCTTAATCACACAACTATTCAGCTGTTTTCAATGTTTCACAAATAATGTTCGAAATTACGAAATACTTAAGATATTATATGTCGGTACGTTATATATGTTTTTGTTTTTTGTAATAAAATAAGTAAAATAAGGTCTTCTGAAATTTTATACATAATTATACTTCTAATTTATTGTTCTTTGCATACATCTGTGAAATGCCACACTTGCCTATGATTTTGAAAAATTTAGTAAAACTCCTTTCCAATATGTTGAAAATCTCATAGTTTTGAAATTCAATACTTCTGTAAGTTCCTGACTGACAGATAATGCCTTACAGACATTTTCCATTTAGCGCCAATTATTTAATTGAAAAATCGCTAGCATTCCACAGGCATCACCTGAGAAACCAGTATATGTAAAATATGCTAGTATTACAATGACTTAATGCGTTTCACGTAATTAAAATGATTCAAAATATGTATATGAATACGCAATAAATGTATCATTAGAATAACCTTAAATCTCATATCGTTTGCTTTTTATAACGTTTATATCAATTTTAAAATCATTCTAATGTGCCAATGCATTTAAGTGTTACCATGCAACTTTTTTCACTTATGTGCTGTTGTTTTCATTTCCGTAATCATAGCATGATGAAAAATTCAAACTTCCACTTATGCAACAATTAAGTTTTTTTGTTTATTATTTTGCAACATCATTCAATTATCGTGACCCATGCCTGTTTTTTTTGTAATATTGTGATTTATTTATTATCAAGCTGTCAACCTATTTGTTACTGAATTGCAGTGGTGTCAGAGTATTAAAAATCAAGGAATGATAAACAGTTTAGTATATTCAAAAAAACAACTGAAATAGTTTTGTGCCATTTGCTCATTGCACACAATGCTGTACAGTTTTTAAGATAACGTGTTAATGCGTACTTGTGATATCTTGACTTACACTATTTAATCTGTTTGAAGATTATATTATATACAGTGTATATGACTATACTCTGATAAGATTACATTCATCTGGTGACATGTAGCAACATGGACAGCCACATTCTTCAGATCTGTTTCAGTTGTTCCTTTGGGTCTTTAGCCAACTACATGTTCAAGCACATTTGGATTTAAAGATTACTAGCATGATTGATTATTAATTGACATACATCATATTAATAATTGACGAATTAATAAATTTTTACTTTATTTTAAATAATAAAATTATTGTATTAAATGCGCTGTAAATAACTTATGAATTTACAACAATTAAATTATTCAATAGAAATATTGCTTTATTTACTACGTTATATTGCAATTTGTTTTTAGGGAGTGGAACAAAGAACTACAGAAGAGAAATCCAAAGGTACTGAAAGCTGTATTACGATTTGTTGGATGGAAATACGTAGCATTAATTTTACTTACGTTGATCCAGGTACGTGGTAGATGTTTCGCTTATACATTAGTCATATATTAAAACCATTTAAATAACTGATATTAATTTGTATTTGCAGGAAACTGCGATAGTTGCAGGACAAATGCACTTATTAGGATTAACAGTACATTATTTTGACAATAGGTTGGAATGGAATCCATACAATATTTACTTAACCGTTGCCGGATTTTTCGGCGTGACAGCGATTTATTTGTTTACATATAATACTAATTATATTGTGTCAGAATTCATTGGAATGAACTTAAAGATAGCTTTTTGCACGATTATATATAGAAAGGTGAATATCAAATTTAATGTATTATGAATATATTACTATATTTATATTTTTCGGAACAAAGTGTATTGCAAAAAATGAGGATTAAGACAATTTACATTAAGATAACATTATGGCAAAAAATTTAGTACATTCTAGTTTGCAAAAATTAGTATTTTTGTTCATTATTTTGTTTTGTCTTTCAGTTTATTCACCCAATTCTCTATTCAGTAATTTCATTAAGGTTTTTTATTTTATACAGTTACTCACGAAATTATAATTTTAAAAACATGCCTAATTGTTTGTTTTACAATTGTTAACTTTTCAATTAGATGCGAATTCTGATGTTTTTGTAATATTTCGACTAGTGGGTACTTTTTCATTTAGAGTACCTGATTTTTACATTGGGTGACTAAGATACAAAAAGATATTAAAATATCATTATTAAAATTAGTGTTGTTCCATTAGTTATCAAATGTAAAAGATGATATATTCCTAAGTATAATAAAACAATTAAATTCATTCGACCTTATTATAATGAAGGAGAAAATTTTTGTTTTCAGAGTATTAAAACATTTAGCAGTTTATTGGCCTGATTTATGCCTAGTACAATTTTCTATATTACTTTCTCAGGAACGAAAAAAAAAACTACTTTGAAATTTTGGCTCTAAAAAAGTGAAACCTTTCTTTTAAATTTCACCCAAACCCAATGTAAATGAAATCTGTGTAACTTTAAATAATTTAAAGCTAGTTGAAGTTTAGTACATTAATTTATTTGTGTTTCTAGAAAAAAATTAAAAAAGTAAACATAAAAACTACTTTTTTTTAATTCAAAAGACTTTTATATTGTTAGATAGTATACAAAAATACAGAAATTTAAGACATAATCATAGTTTTTAAAGACATGTCAATTTTTCACAATTTAAAAGAAAATAGTAAAGTGTGCGAAATGTCACACACTTCATGGAAAGCATTTTTTTCACAAAAGAAATTAAGGGTTAAAGTTATTCAACTTGAAAAGTTTAAAATGAGTCCAAAGAATGTAATAGTGTAAGATTTTCGGGACAAATCTAAATAAAATAAACTAACATTTTTATCTTGTTATTTAATATAATTTTAAAATTACATTTTACTTTTTTCGACAGACTTATTTATTTATATACATTAATAAAATTCTTACAATTTTCAAACTTTTTTCTTTCGTCTTTTTTTTTTTCGTTTTCAAAAGGACACTGAGGTATTTTAAATAAATATAATTACAATTGTCGAAAAAGTTGTAAAATTTATTTCATTTTTTTGTTTATAAAAAATTAAAATTACATAAAAAATTACTTTTTTTATTGGAATATAATATAAGTTTTTGAGATTATTTATTTATTATATATAAATTTTTTATAGGCACTGAAATTAAGTCCTTCATCTCTTGAAAAATCGAATGTTGGGCAAATGGTAAATCTTATAGCAAATGATGTCAGCAAATTTCAAAATGTAAGTTGAAGTTATTATTCTTATAAATATAAATACACACAGTGTATTAATATTTTTACCTGCTGTAATAAAGTTACACGACGATAAAAAGATGTTTTTGTATATGTAATTCAATTAGAGGTAAATGTGTTCGCTTCAAAATCTCTGTTTTATTTACTATCAATTCAAATTTGGATTAATTCGGATAGATAATTATAAATTCGAGTAAAGAATGATTACAAAGTCAATCTGTTATATATACAAATAACTTATAGAAGTATAACTAATGCTGTGGGTCTACTGGATCCACGTCACATTTTCGATGTCGCTTATCAGCCGCTGTGCTCATTTNTTCTCTCTTCTTGTAAAGTTGTAATTATTTTAATTATTTTTATTTCCAAACTGATTTTAACCAGTTCTATAGTAAGGTAACACTCCAATAGACAATATGCAAAGCTTTTTTTTCAGTTTACAGCAGTATTTATTACACAAAATTTATGTAAAGCTTAACATGCCGATTTCGCCCTGGACTCCCCTATATAATATTGTTTTTCAAGTTCAATTATATTTTAATAGATCTGATTCGATCAAATGATGCATGTTGTAACTTGAATAAATTGTATTGGCTTTTTTGCTTGATTATTTTTCATTTCGAAATAAAAAACTAAGAACTACAGGGACAATATATAATATTTTAGTGAGTAAAACAAACGAGAAACTACTAATATGGTCATGGATATGTTATGAACATATTTTGTAGGTAAATGCAGAATGCCTTTTTACTACAACGTTAACTAGTAAATTTGATAAACATGCTGAGGCGCAGTAGGCGTGAAAATGAGGACAGTAGCTAATAAGCGACATCAAAAATGTTACATTGGTAGCCTAGACCACGGGTCGGCAACCTGCGGCTCTTTGGATGTGAAGCTGCGGCTCTTTAGTTCCATACGCAAATGTTATTCATTTCATCAAAAAAAAAGAAAATCATTTAAAAATCGTTTTGAATCGATTAACGAGGATTAGGCACTGATTCTATCTCTCAGCCACTTGTAATTGCTTTTCACTGCACCCCTCCTCCGTGACACGCGTCGTCACTGTCGTCAGTCCGTCGGAAGCTCTCGAATGACGCCGTCGTCGGATGTTTCTATTATCAAATTTGTTGTGTAAAACACTACTTATATATGAATAAACTAGCTGTTACCCGCGACTTTTCTCGCGAAAATTTTGCAAGCAAACCACATTTATATTCAGTATTTCAACAACCATAGTAATTGTTATATAACACCTACCGCCAAAAATGATGAAAATTGTCGAGAATTAAACGAACTATTTTCGATTTGATCAATTTTCTGGGACGTTTACAATCGATCTATAATCGAACCAATATGTATGACAAATTCGAATTTAAAACGGTTCGAACATTTGGTTAAAAAATTGAAATATATAAAAATATTTGTAACAATATGTGAAATGTTATTAATTTAATACACCTAAAGTACTCGATGAAGACTAAATCCTCTCCCTCTCCCACCCGCGGGGAATTTCGAAAAATCCCTTCTTAGTGTACATTGCCATGACGTACAATGTCTACTAAATTTCACCTCTCTAGGTTAAGCGGTTTGCTCTGGGCGATGATGAATCAGTCAGTCAGTCAGTCAGTCAGTCAGGACAAGCAATTTTATATATTTAGATAGATATTTTTTCTTATGAATGAATAGATTAGTTTTTTTAATCAAAAAACTTTATTTATGCGAGTACTATTTATTGTTGGCAAGAAAAAATTTTGTGGCTCTTTAAAAACTTTGAAATTTTGGAAATTGTAATTTTGGCTTTTCCAACTCAAAAAGTTGCCGACCCCTGGCCTAGACCCACAACATCCGTTATATTTCTACTATATTTGTACTGCAGATTGAGTTTGTAACCATTCTTTATTTGAATTTATTATTATCTTCCAGAATTAATTCATAATTACTCCGTTTATTTTTATTACTGATGTCCAAATTTTCTGGAAATTCTCACTTAAATTAATAATCTGCGTTAGCGCCTAATTTGTGCTTGAAAATTGTCAGAAATGTAAAATTTCACACTGCATGCTATCAGTGACCAAGAACCATTCTGACTGACTATACTATTACTGTACATTTTGTATATGTAACGTTAACCAATTATAATTTCTTCAGCGATTCTCTGCATCTACAAAGTTAGCTTACATGCTTATTTAACAAAATTCTCTTCGTTAGCTGTACTATAATGATATCCACAGGCTGCATGCTATACATGTCACTATATAAACGTTTTCAACCAAAACGCTTCCTGGATTTAAAAAAACCTGAAAATATTTTAGTGGAATATAGCTTACTTTCATCTGCAGTTACTTATAATTCTTTATTTTCACATGTTTTTGTTTGTAACACAACGATTTCTTGTTCTGACATAATTTTTGATCACCTAACATTATCAAGTTTAACACAATTGTTCAAAAACTAGTCAAAGATGTTTGTTAGCTATGACTAACATAGTGATAAAACAGTTTGAAATTTGTTACGGTTATGAGTTTCCAGATGAAAAATCTTAATTTCATGGTTTTGATAATGAACATCCAGCAAAACAGTTAAGCTCTCAGTTTTGAAAATAAAACAAATTCAATCTTAATGTCTTGCTTAATAAAAGTTCTTTTCATCAAATGGAAAGCAAAATGATAGAAATAAATTGGAGAATTCCAAACTTCAGATGAATTTTAGATGATCGGGATCAGATTAGATGTCGATAACGACCTTTTCCGTGCCTCAAAACGTTTTGAATTGCCATGGAGACAGGGGAAGACCAATCGAAACACGCAATAGAGGAGAGAATCCTATATAAACGCGTGTTTCAAGAACAAGAGTTCATCGCTCATCATATTGTTCTTTCTTCGAGATCTGTGGTTTTCTTACCGGTCTGTGATCCACCAGGATATGCAGAATCTGTCGGTTTCAAACTTAGGAACAAGACCTGAAAAACAATCACTAAAAGAACAAACATACATTCACTGCTACATCCAAACTTTTCTTTGACTTCTCATTTGAAATTGAATTTTCAAAGAGAAATTGTAAAGATAACATTATCTAACTTTTCTAAGAAACATTTCAATATTTTTTGCAATGGGACAAAGTGAATGGTGTATTTCATGCTCACGCACGATTGTCTAGACCAGGCATGGCCAACATATGACCCGCGGGCCAGATGTGGCCCGTGTAATGGATTTATGTGGCCCGAAGATTAATCTTTTAATATTAGCTACTGAAGTTAAAATAGATCAGTGAAAAGTTCTAACGCCTAAACAGAAAAAAAGGTCAACAACTCGTTGTCTGGTTAGAGTTAATTCTTCATTACAAATCTCTTAAGTACAGCGTAGAACGTTGATAAAGCATGATAATGTGAAAAATGTATCTGTAATATGTATGTACAATTTAGTCTCTACGGATGACACCACAATGAGATCTCACACCACCTCAAAATCTTCCTAGGGCTGCCTCTGGTTCGGCCCGTGAAAAAAGTTTTTTTTTTCCAATTCGGCTCGGGGGCAAAAACTGTTGGCCACCCCTGGTCTAGACCCTTCAATCCTCCTGACAATCACACATAGTCAGCTAGCCTCGTAGAGGTTGCAAAGCTTGACAAGCTATAGGGGTAGAGGTGACACGCAGCAACCCATATAGCTTGACAAGCTATAAGGGTCGAGGTGACACGCAGCAACCCATATAGCTTGACAAGCTATAGGGGTCGCTTGTGTGTCACCTCGACTCGCATTTTAAATATTAATTTATATTTCAACAATTTTCACTTTTTCTTTTAAGTATTATTTCTCATTCTGTTTCGTAATATAATAAACATATATGTTTACTTTCTAATACTNTCGAACATAAAATTCGAATATTGGTTCGATTTTAGAACGATTGTAAACGTTCCAGAAACGTTGAAAATAGTTCGTTTGACTTGACGTGAACAGACGTTCAGAAATAGAATCGGGACCAGGTCTCTAATTAGTCTGGAAAAGGGGGACCTAATTCTTGCATTCTGTGAAAACGGTTAAGATTGGCTATAATGTAATTATCTTAATCTTCACTATCGTTACTTTTTAAAAACCCAGGGAAGCGGGTCCTTGCAGCTAGATTCTAGATTACTTAGAAAAACTGTTTTTTATATATAAAAACAACTATATTACCTACAAATGTACGAACAAATAAAAACCCAGCGAAGCGGGTCCTTGCAGCTAGTAGATATATAAAATTGCTTGTCCTGACTGACGCACTGACTGATTCATCATCGTCCAGAGCAAACCGCTGGACCTAGAGAGGTGAAATTTGGTACACAGTTAGGGTACGTCATGAAAACGCACACTAAAAATGGTTTTTTCGAAATTCTCAAGTGGGGGGTGAGGAAGAGCATTAAGTGTTAACCGGAAACACGGCTTCTGCTGTACTATTTTAGATGCGATTTTTTCTTTTTATATGCGTTTTAGTAGGGTATGCCATGGGAATTCACACGAAGGAAGGTTTTTTCAGAATTTCCCCGCGGGGAGGAGAGGTAGAGCATTAAGTCTTAACCAGAAAACGGCTTCTACTGTATTATTTTAGATGCGATTTTTTGTTTTTATCTGCGTTTTAGTAGGGTACGCCATGGCAATGAACACTAAGAAGGGATTTTTCGAAATTTCCAAGTGGAAAGAGAGGTAGAGAATTAAGTCTTAATTGGAAAATGGCTTCTACTGTACTATTTTAGATACGATTTGTTGTTTTCAACTACGTTTAGTCTTCATTGCGTACTTAGGTGTATTAAATTGATAACATTTCAGACATTGTTATAAATATTTTTCTCTATTTCGATTTTAATTAAAAATGTTCGATCCGTTTTAAATTCAAATTTGTTATTGCATATTGGTTCGATTATAGAACAATTGTAAACGTTCCAGAAAATTGATCAAATTGAAGATAGTTCGTTTGATTCTCGGCAATTCTCTTCAGCGGTAGGTGTTATATGACAAT